AAGACGGACATCTGAAGACACTTCTTCAGGCCTGTGGATGTCCTGACCCAACAGGACAATGGAACAGTCTGAGCTCCAGAGCTGATGGAAGAACCTGGTCATTCCTTACATGGATTTATGGTAAACAGTACATGCCCTTACACTTCAAATCCAGAAAGTCACTAAGGGAGAGACACATCGACCCAAAAGACTGGACACCAAAAGGCAACAGGAGCAATATAGTATATGCAGTTCAATGCAAAGAGGAATGTTCTGAGCTCTACACTGGAGAACCAAAACAGCCACTAAACAGGAGAATGGCACAGCACAGGAGGGGCCGTTCGGCTCAGGACCACAATCACCAGTGTTTCTTCATTTGAAGCAATGCAAGCAAAGCAAAGTGTGCTATTACAGTTGTGCCTCACTTAACAATTGCTTCGTTGAACGATGAAACTGCTATACGATGACTGTTTTACAATCGCTTTTCCAATCGCAAAATGATGTTTTAATAGGCAAAATCCGCTTTGCGACGATCGGTTCCCTGTTTCGGGAACCGATTCTTCGCATTACGACGATTTTAAAACAGCTGATCGGTAGCTTCAAAATGGCCGCTGGCTGCTCAAAATGGCTCCCCACTGTGTTTTAGGACGGATTCCTCGCTATACAGGCACCAAAAATGGCCGCCCCTATGGAGAATCTTTGCTGGACGGTGAGTTTTCAGCCCATTGGAACACAGTGAATGGATTTTCAGTGCATTTCAATGGGTTTTTTATTTTCGCTAATGAGGATTTCGCTCTACAGCAATTTTGCTGGAACGGATTGTCCTCGTTAAGCGAGGCACCACTGTATATATTGCCCCATAGTGCTTCAAGTACTCTCTGGGTGGTTTACAAGTTAATTACGCAGGTTACATATTGCCCTCCCCCAGCAAGCTGGGTACTCATTTTGCCGCACATCGAAGGATAGAAGGCTGAGTCATCCTTGAGCCAGCTACCTAGGATTGAACCCAGGTCGTGAGCACAGTTTTGGGTGCAGTACAGCAGTCTAACCACTGCACCACGAGGCTCTTAGAATGACAAAGGACACTCATTTGATGACCAAGATGTACTCATTTTAGACTGATAGGTGGTTTGAGAGAGAGATCAGGGAGGTAATACATGTGCATGCAGAAAATCCCTCACTGAACAGGGCTGGAGGCCTTAGACACAATCTGTCTCCTATTTATCATGCTGTCTTTTCATCCATCCCCAGAAAGATCAGGACCATACCCACCAGAAAGACCGCTGTTAAGGACTGTTAATAATAACCCATGCCAATGGAGAAGATCTGCAGAGGAGAGATTTTCATTCACCCACAACCATTCTTTGTCCATCAAAGGAACTTATTCAGACCAAGGGGGCATGAAACCAACAAGGAGGATCTATCAGGGGCCCTTCCAACTCTCCTCAGACTGAACAAGCAACAAAAGTGACTAGAACAGACTGTATTGCTGGCGAAAGTGGGGTGGACCCATAGGCAAAGAGGAAGCTCTAACATGAGACTCAATAAAGAAAGCCACAGTTGTTAATTTGGAAGATCTGAACAGAACTTAATGCTGGGTGGGGGGTGATGGGGGTAGTGGGAAGTCACTTTGAATTTATCAGTTAGAGCCATGAATGGCTAAATTTCCACAAAATAACAAAAAATGGGAGACAGAGAGCATTTTCTTTCCAGGCATGCAAATTTCATCTCGTCAATGTGTTTGATCTGTTTTAAGTTTGCTGGACCACCAGGTCATTTGGTTCTGCACAGGGTAAAAACAGTTACTTTAAAAAAATCAAAACTGCAAAACTCTTTGTCCAAACATCCCCAGATTTGACACAAAGGAGTAGATGGGCTGGTACATCCATGCTAAACCTGGTACTGATCTGAGGAACACTTTCATAGTTATAATTTCTTGCTTGGGGCACTCCTATTTTTTGAGTTGGTAACAGTATGATAAATACTTCTGGCAGCACAATGTATGGCCACAAGCCTGCTTGTCAGGTTACTGGTTTATTTTAAATGCAAACAATATTAAACTCATTTTTCTTTGAAATAAGAATCTCACCCTTAAGATAATGGGTGACCACCAGTGTTTGGGATTTTTTTTCTTTTATACTAGAAGCAGGCTTTTGGGTCACACTAAACACTTCCCTGGGCAATGTTACCAAAACTGGCTGGATAGTTCAGTGGTTTATGTATCTGGCTGCAAAGCCTGAGGTTGTGAGTTCAATTAACCACCATGCTTCCAGGGAGAATAAGCAGCCTAGAAAGCCATGGGGAAGATGCACAGTCCTAGTATGCCCCATAAAAAGGGAGTGGTAACCCATGTCTGTGTATTCCCTGCCTAGAAAACCATAGAAAGGGTTGCCATAAATCAGAATTGAATTGATGGGACACAACTACTATTATGAAATGAAAGATCCAGTTTGTTGAAGATTAGATACGGCTCAGGCCAAACTGCAAGACAACTCTATGATGTCAGAAGGAGGTCACAATCCCGAGAGGTCTGTGACAACCCCAGACCTACTGGAGTATACCACCCTTTAATTATGCTGCCACCAACCATTCCCTATAAGGAGTCACACAGACCAGGAATGGATTTTAATAAACAAAAGAACAAGGTTTATTGAAATAACAAACAGGGTAAATAAAAGGATCAGGCAAATAGAATACTGTAACGTGGCATAGTCCCAATCATATACATACAACAGATTGGTTCCCCCGGAACACTTTAAAGTAACGCACAGACCCTGAACCTATCAGTTCTGGCTACCTAAATAGAAACCTGAACCTATCAGGTATGTACTAACTGACAAACAGTTGTACCCAGTCTGACACACAGACTCCAACTCCTCACTCTCCACACAAGCTCCAAATATATATACAGTACAGCTCCTCCCCCCTGATGTCCCGCCTTCCACTCCCCATAGGATGGAACTTTCCCTCCAAACCCATGACAGACAGGTACCATCAGTGCTGTATGTGACACCTCCCCTCTTTATAAGTTGTTTTGCGGGGGAAAAGCTAAAGTGCTTTTCTCCAAAAAAACAACCAGGATCAAAACATATAAACAGTTATACATTTTCATACAATCCCATAACCCATACTTACACTCTAGGTTAAACATATCACTTATGCATTTAAACATTAACATTTGCAATACATTAAGTTACCTTTATTAATACAAACCAAGCCTGTTCAATAAACAGGTACAATTAACTTTTGGTCACCAAAATATACATAGTCCATGGTTTCTTCGCCGTTTTCACTCTTCGGGTCTTCTTGACAAGGCGTCAGCAACACAGTTCATTGACCCTCTGACCACCTTCACTTCAAAGTCAAAATCTTGCAGGTTTAAAGCCCACCTCATAAGTTTACTATTATGGGTTTTCATTGTCTTTAACCACTGCAGTGGTGAGTGGTCAGTGCACAGAACAAAATGTCTTCCCCAGATGTAAGGTTTGGCCTTCTGAATCGCGTATACTATGGCCAGGCACTCCTTTTCCACGGTTGCCAAATGTCTCTCACCTTTCTGGAGTTTCCTACTCAGGTATGAGGTTGTGAGTTCAATTAACCACCATGCTTCCAGGGAGAATAAGCAGCCTAGAAAGCCATGGGGAAGATGCACAGTCCTAGTATGCCCCATAAAAAGGGAGTAGTAACCCATGTCTGTGTATTCCCTGCCTAGAAAACCATAGAAAGGGTTGCCATAAATCAGAATTGAATTGATGGGACACAACTACTATTATGAAATGAAAGATCCAGTTTGTTGAAGATTAGATACGGCTCAGGCCAAACTGCAAGACAACTCTATGATGTCAGAAGGAGGTCACAATCCCGAGAGGTCTGTGACAACCCCAGACCTACTGGAGTATACCACCCTTTAATTATGCTGCCACCAACCATTCCCTATAAGGAGTCACACAGACCAGGAATGGATTTTAATAAACAAAAGAACAAGGTTTATTGAAACAACGAACAGGGTAAATAAAAGGATCAGGTAAATAGGATACTGGAACGTGGCATAGTCCCAATCATATACATACAACAGATTGGTTCCCCCGGAACACTTTAAAGTAACGCACAGACCCTGAACCTATCAGTTCTGGCTACCTAAATAGAAACCTGAACCTATCAGGTATGTACTAACTGACAAACAGTTGTACCCAGTCTGACACACAGACTCCAACTCCTCACTCTCCACACAAGCTCCAAATATATATACAGTACAGCTCCTCCCCCCTGATGTCCCGCCTTCCACTCCCCATAGGATGGAACTTTCCCTCCAAACCCATGACAGACAGGTACCATCAGTGCTGTATGTGACAAGGTCTGTTTCTCTGCCAATATATTGTCTATTTATTTGTACATCATTGATGCTTTTTAGGTGATTGTCATGATATTTTCTTATTTGTGATGTTTCTTCAGTGGGATTCCACCATTATTTTTCTCATTGACACTTGGGATCTCCTTTTACCTTCTGCTTTATGGACAGGCCATGTCCCTTTCCAAACAAGCTTTGTGGAGACCACAGAGTGACTTTAGAAAGGAAACCATGCCTACGACTCTGCAAGAGCTGAGCAGGGCAGTGAATAATCAACAGCATGAAAGTCATTTATTCATAACCCTAATTTGGAAACAACCTGAGGATGACCTGAAAACTTCCCCCTGATTGGGAAAGGGAAGGTGATTGTCAAGTGCCATCACACCCTTTCTGATGTATGACTAAAAATAATAAGACCAAGCAGAGGTTGGCAAAGTTACTTTTCTGGAATGCACGTCACTGTAGCCGTAGGTCACAACAGACTCATCTTCAAGTCCCTCAGAAGGCCAAAGATCTACTGAACTACTGAAGAAGTCACTTTTAAAGGGTTGTCTAATGGCAAATGAGTGGCTACAGTTGGCATGGAGACAGATCATGGCCAAGAGAAACAGAATTTGCTGATGTCAGAATGAGGTCACAATCTGGAGAGATTTTGTTTCTCTGCCAACTGAGAGACAGTTAACAGTTGGGCTGAGCGTTCACCTTGGCAGGATGGGTCTTCCTAGTAGAGCAAGACAAGGGTTGGAATTGGGCTATCCTAACCCTTGAGAGGTACTGTAGTCTAATATATAGACTGTTAGGCAGAGATTCAGAAGACCTAAGAGGGTTCAAGTCACTCCTAGCCCACAAAAACATCATGAGAGGCCAAGACTGTCTTGCAGAAGTTGGCGTCAGTCACTGATGCGACTTGTAGCCTGTGGTTTCCTTCCATCTTTTGCTATGGACTCATATCTGTCTTCTTTTCTTCTCCTGTCATAGGTCTGGGCAGCTTTGCCCTTAGGCTGAGTAAGGCAGCTGATTTGAGCAAGGACTACACAATATTTTATCTTGAATGTTGACTCCCGGGGTGGTGGGGTGATAGGATTTTCCACCTGATGAGTCCAAATAATTTGGACTGTCTTCCATACAAGATGCTCGGATTTGAACCAGGAGCCATGCTGAGCCAGGCGGACAACAAGGGAGACCAGCATCTGGTGATGTTCCTGAGTGAGAAGCTGCAGGTGAGCGAGAGACAACTTCCCACCATCGATCATGAGTGCTTAGCAATTATATGGTCTTTGAGGAATCTTGGACCATACATATGGGGAAGACATTTGGGTCCAGGCAGTGACCATTCCCCAAGGTTCTGGTTGCGGATTGACAGACAGAACAATAGGAAACTGAGGAGGTGTACCATACTCCTACAAGACTGTGACTGTGGGTACCAGAGAGTTAAAGGGGACTCATAATGTGGTGGACAATGCCTGGACAAGAAGACCAGAAGACGGACAAAAGAGACCAATGTAATAAGTAACTTTAATAAAATAAAAGGTTCTAGTTATGTATAATTTTATATATTTTAATTGTTTTTAATTGTTACAATTTTTTGTATTTTAAATGTTGTAAGCTGCCCAGAGACCTTTCGATAGTGTGGGTGGCATATAAATAAGTAAGTAAGTAAGTAAGTAAGTAAGTAAGTAAGTAAGTAAGTAAGTAAGTAAATGAATGAATGAATGAATGAATGAATGAATGAATGAATGAATAAAAGAAGTAATTAAAGTTGTAAATTGTTTTGCTGAATGAATGGTAAGTAGTGATAAAAGTAACAGTATAGTAGTAAAGAAATGGTAAGAAATGCAAAGGTTGAGTAATACAATTTAAATGTGTAAAGTGATAAGATTAAAATATGTTACATCATAATTAACAATATGTATGTATAGAATAAGTAAAAGAGTAAAAGTAAACATGATTTAAAATGTATAACTGAGAAACGTAATGAACAAAATGTGTTGTTGGTTTGAAAATTGCTTAGCAAGTCCTATGTTGTTCATGAGGGTTATGTTTTACCCCATGGAACAAACTTTCTAAGGGGGGAGGTATTAGTGGAACCCCCACGTCACACCTATCCATCATTGGAACCTTGAGGGAAGGAGCCTATGAGAGGACAGGAGAGGCGGAACTAAGAGGACAGTGAGACAGTTAGATAGTTAGGGAAAAGAGCTGGAGAAAAGAGGTTGCAGATAGGGAATCAAAGAGCGAGAGTTAGGAGATAGATTTGAGAAAGATGTCAGAGATTGGAAAGTTGGAAGGCTAGAAATAATAAGAGTTCAAATGCATAGTAAATAAATAGATAGTCAGAAAGTATTGTAACAGTGAAGAAATACACATACAAACCAAAGTAAAAGCAAATTATATTTAATGAATAAGCCTTAACATCTGTGATTTACTCCTGTGATTTGCATGACATCTGTAAAATCAATAAATCTGTTGAAATGGCAGCATGTGGCTAAGATCTATTTGGTATTAAGGGGATATTACCTGGTGGCAGCGTGAAGTGTGGACAAGCATCCAAAGGGGGGACTTGTGTTTAAGGGAAAATAAACAAAGGACACAGGGTGTATGTCACAATGGTATTCACGCTCAATTCAAGATGCGCTTCAAGGCGGGAGTATCCTCCAAGCTGTCAAGTTCATGCATGGAAGGTCTGGATGGTAGACCATCCCGTCGTTGTGAGTTAGGAAGTCAGGAACCAGAGAGAGTCTAAACGAGTCCATCGACATCAACCTTAGGTGAGTGAACCACGGTTGCCTCGGCCACCAGGGAGCGAAGAGGATCACATTCAATTGAAAGTGTCGGAGGCAGATAATTGTCCACTGTATGAGTGGTATCGGTGGGAATAGATAAAGTAATTCCCTGTTCGAATCTGTCATGAACATGTCCCCGATGGAGTTTTTGTCTGCTCCGGCTCGAGAACAATAGACACTGCATTTGGCATTCACACTCAAAGCGAAGACATTGATGGTAGGTACTCTCCAACTGCGACAGAGTTGATCGAAAATGGTATCCTTAAGGGACCACCCGTGAGTCCTCGATGTCACACGGCAGAGACAATCTGCTATGTAATTGTCATCCGTGGAAATATGTACTGTAGTAGGGTAGATGTGATGTTGATAATACCATTCACACAGGTTGATGGCTAGGTACAGGAGGGATAAAGAATGTGTTCCTCCCTGTTTGTTTACATAATATAGAGCAGTTCTATTGTCCATTGCCAGTTGCACCACTCGACCCTCAATGATTGGAAGAAAGGCATAGAAAGCTCTGATGGGGACTTCCGGCTTGACGTCGTGATGATACAGTCCAGGGAGACAGAGCTCTGCTCCCCGAGACTGCTTTTCAGCCTGCTAGGGAGCCCCAAGGGGCTTAAGTCACCCCGGAGAGGTGACGAGCGAGGGGGAGATACCTGTAGATCATGAAGATAATGGCAATTGTCTTCGTTTGATCCAGGAAACTCCCCAAACCAGCAGGAGGAAAACAAACCGCTTGTTTGCTAGCGGTTTGTCCAAGTCATCGGCTGCCGAAGAAAAACAGCACTAAGTTTTGGATATTTTACATCGTGTTATCAACCTGGGTGAGACTATTTTTCTTCCCCTTTACTAACTCTATCAACATTCCTGACTAAAATAACTCCTTAAAAGAAAGAAAGATTCTAAGCCATCCCCTAGCTGGTGAAAGGAAGCGGCGACCAAAGAGAGGAGCGGTTCGCTGCTCTGAAGGGGAGGCTAAGAAGACACGGCAAGTCTATCCTATCGAACATTAATCTGTATTTGTTAGAA